AGGAGGCAATGATACTCAGGCAATAGAATCAGAGAATCATGAATCATATGGTAAAAAATTATGAAGTTACGTTTGAAAAAATTAACTCAAGTACAGTTTGATTTTGATTAGTTAGTTTACAAATTCTCATAATTAAAATTAAGAATTTTCTAACATATGTTTTAAAAATACATTCATTACACTTTTTACCATTAATTTCTATGAAAAAATAAAAATTAATTTTAATTTATTAACCATCTAATTAAAATGTTTTATGTAATATTAGTGTTGAAAATAAAATTTACTTTTATAATCTTTTATAAAAATTAATAATAAAAAAGTATAATAAATATATTATTATTTTACGTTTTAAGAGTACAGATTAAACAAAAAGTACTAATTAGACAAACCCTCAAAATTATAACTTAAGGAAGGAAACACCAGAACTTCTAATGAAGACTGCAAATAGTTGCATCCCTGGAGTCATGGGACCAGAAAATTTCATCTATTTTCAGACAGATGCTAATGCAACGGACCAAAGGTACAGTTGGAATGATGAATTATTAACACTGGTGAGATAGATAACTTTAAATTAAGAAACTATTACATGGATGAGTTATAGCTTTAGCTCCAATGTGTTAGAGGAAAAGAGAAATCAGATAGTTCTCCATCATAACAGCCGATTTATATTATTTTAAAGAAGAATTTTTTGTTTTGCAGTTTGATCTTTGACAAACTGAAAAATAAGAAGTTTTAGATATTTTGAGGGCACCTCTTAAGTTTGGAAGTTTAAAGTGGATCTGTTTTTTTCAAGCAATTTGTGTTAATTTTCCATTTTGTTCTGGCACAGTAGTTTTTAAATTTAGGTTTTGTTTTAAGGTTTCATACAATCCTTTAGTTTTCAATATATTTATAAAGAGTATATGTAAATATTTATTAATGAACATGGTTTAGTTATTTCTTTTTTAAATTAATTAATATCTAATTTGACTTTAAAATCTTCTAAAACATTAAAACAAAGACAATTAAAACTCTTTTACAATTTATCTAGCTAAATAATTTCAATAAATAAGCCATTCTTTGAGTAATTCACCAAACATATAGTCGTCATGACAAGGCCGTTAAAGATTTTGTTTTCTCTATCCAAAAATTTCATAGAATCTTGCACCACTTCAATTGGATCAATATAGTAATTAATTCAATAAAAAAAACAATTAATCAAGTCATTATCATGCTCAAAATCGTGCAACTTGAGTTGCAATAAAAACGAAGTCCATGCATGCCATGAGCTGACAATCCATTGCTTAATTTGCCCATCAGTTTTTCATTTCAAGGTCCCAAATGAAGGAGCAACCAAGTATACAACAGTCTATCCTCCTACTACAAAAAAGAGTTTGTTTACTCAATCTTCTCTTCTTACTTTAATACAAGAAGTATAAGCTGAGTTAAATTTTGTACCAATCACTAGTTTTCCTGAACTGCACAACGCGCGGAGGATTTTTCTAGTTACTTTGAAGGATCAAACGAGGAACTCTTTCCTGATCGCAAGTTTAAGCATCTAGAACAACTAGGCTTTAAAATTTTTCATTTGCGATGCTCTAGCCAAGTCTTTTGTACATGTATCCAGTTCAAGCGATGTGAACCACCACCCTCCTAGAATCCACAATTAAATCACCCTCTTGAAAATTAGATCTTTTTAAAACTGCATTTATTAGTCTAATTTTAGCTTCTGCAAATT